TTCAGGACATGCCCTGAGCAGGATCTCAAATCTCGACCACGAATACGACATCCGCTTTGCTACAAAGTGCCTGGATTCTGCACAAAGCGTTTTAGGCAAATTTTCTTCCACACATCTATCCACGGGAGACAATATCAAGAAAAAAAAACCCGCCCGATTTTCAAAAAAAGACCAGTAAAGGAAAAAAGTAACAGAAAATTTACCTGAGCAAGAATATCGTTCATTTCTTCAGTAGCTCTAGAATCATCCTTACCCAGCACCCTCAGTAATCGAAGTATTTTTACCTAAATGCGATTGTTATAAAGCGTTGAAGAAACGTAGTAATGATAAATATTATAAAATGAGAGAATTAAAATCCAAAAATTCACCTGCAAAAACGGGTCACTTATCCCGGTGACATCATGTTCCGGAGAATAACCGCTCATCAGAAGATTCTTGAGAATCCGAACGAGATTAGGCACCAACTAAAATGTGGAACAACCATCTAATAAAGCTGTGAAAATAAATGGAAGCGGAACTTCCAATTTGGAAAGTTTTCATCAATATAAGGATGTCGAAATACAGAAATTTCTCCCTCCGCCGCGGACGAAAAAGATGAAATTACAAATATTCAGCTTGGAACAGGAAAAAAACACTAACCTTTTTGAAGTGATTCAACACATCAGGACTACGTTCACACATTTCTGTGACCAGTGTCGTTGCACCCATAAGAACACCTGAAGAAACTTCTATCATTCAAGTGGACTTTCAAGTTTCACCGAGACAGTCGAAATTCAAAAGAGTACCGTGATTCTTCTCTCCTAATAGAGAACGAGTACAAGAAATAAAAACTTCCATGAGTTCAGGGACCTTGCGTACTATTCGGAAGGCACAGAGAGCAGCCTACAAAGAACACTCAACGGTACGCACAAGGAACAAGTCACAAAAACGTATTATCCCCCCCCCAGCACCCCTAAAGCAACCAAACGAGCTACCTTCTTCTTGATATAGGTATTGCTACTTTTCACCAAACGTTCCACTTCATTCGCCAAGTCACGACACATTTCCGACGAGCATATCGAGCCCAGGGTGCACAAAGCGAGCCCTGTT